GGCTAGGACTCTATCACTTGAGCCACAGCCCCACTTCTGGTTTTCTGATAGTTAATTGGAGATAAGAGTCTCATGGACTTTCCTGCCTGGGCTGGCTTTGAACTGAGATCCTCAGATCTCAGACTCCTGAGTAGCTAGGATTACAGGTGTGAGCCACCAGCACCAGGCTAAGAACAGAGGGGGGTAAAAAAAAATTAAAAAAATATATATATGGAGTCTTACAAGGTAAAAAAAGACCAACAAAGTACAACCTAGGTTTGCTATCTTCAAAATAATTCTTCAAAATTCGTGTGTGTGTGTGTGTGTGTGTGTAATGAGGCCTAAATTCAGACCATGGGTGTTATCCCTTAGCTTTTCCTCTCAAGGCTGGTGTTCGACTATTTGGGTCACAAATCCATTTTTGGCTTTTTGTTGGTTAATTGGAGATAAGATTCTCATGGACTTTCCTGTCCAAGCTGGCTTTGAACCACTCTCCTCTCTGCTCTTAGCCTCCTAAGTAACTAGGATTACAGGTGTGAGTCTTCAGTGTCCAGCTTTACATTTAACTTTAATTGACAGATAAAAGTAATATTTGACATGTGCAACAGAATGTTCTGAAATAGTGATACATTGTGAAATGGCTAAATTAAACTAATTAACATATGCATGGCCTCATATATTTCTCAGTTTAAAAATCGGCTTTCTTAGTGGGTTTGAAGAAAAAACACATTGTTTTAGTTATGTGTGTGTATATGCCAGTACTGGAGCTTGAACTCAGGGCCTAGGTGTTATCCCTTAGCTTTTTCCACTCAAGGCTAGTGGTGACATGAACCTTGTGACATGAACCAACAGCGCCCAACATCAAAGGGTTTGTTGTTGTTGTTGTTGTTGTTGTTGTTTGTTTTCCCAGCCCCAAAATGGAAAATTTTTAAGATTTTTTCCCCCCAATTAAGAACCCCTTTGATGGGCTGGGAAGGTGGCTCAGTGGTAGAATGCTTGCTTTGCATGCATGAGGCCATGGGTTTGATTTCTCAGTACCACATAAGTAGAAAAAACCAGAAGTGGCACTGTGGCTCAAGTGGTAGAGCACTAGCCTTGAGCTGAAGATCTGAGGGACAGCGCCCAGGCCCAGAGTTCAGACCCCACAACCTAAATAAATAAATAAATAAATTCCATTTTGCCGAGCGCCAATGGCTCATACCTGTAATCCTAGCTACTCAGGAGGCTGAGATTATAAGGATCATGGTTCAAAGTCAGCCTGGGCAGGAAAGTTCATGAGACTCAGATCTCCAATAAGCCACCAGAAAACCAGAAGTTGCATTGTGGCTCAAGTGGTAGAGCACTAGCCTTGAGCTGAAGAGCTGAGGATCAGTGCCCAGGCCCAGAGTTCAGGCCCCACGACTGACAAAAATAAATAAATAAATAAAATTCCATTTTGCCAAACACTGTTGGCTCATGTCTATAATCCTAACTACTTAGAGGGCTGGGATCTAAAAATCATGGTTCAAAGCCAACCTGGGCAGGAAAGGCCATGAGACTCTTACTTCCAGTCAACCACCAGAAAAATGGAAGTGGTGCTGTGCCTCGAAGTGGTAGAGCACTAGCCTGGAGCAAAAGAGCTCAGAGACAGCGCGCAGGCCCTGAGTTCAAGCTCCACCACTGACAAAAACAAAAACAAAAATGTTGTCTCTATTTTCCCTTTAGGATGCTATATCCTGGTCTGTGTGCCTTAATGTTGTCACCAACTGTCCACAATGACTATGCACAGGCACACAGCTGTCACTAGATAATATTTTGGATTCATGCCCAGAGAAATCTTGAGAGTTGGGAACTATGAAAATACCAGCTATCACATCCCAATAAGCTGAGGCTCCACAGGACTTAGAAGTGGCAGCAATGCCAGGCCTGTAACAGCTACAAGTCAGAGTTCAAAAACTGGAAAGAAATGTTGTATCCTAACTCCCAGGGACAGCCTGCCACTCAGCAGGCTGCAATCAAAAGATCACAGTCCCAAGACAACCCCAGGCAGAAAAAAATCTGAGAGACTCTTATTGAACCAGTAAAATGCCTGACTAGAAGCATGAATCAAGTGGTAGAGTGCCAGCAGTGAGAGAATAAGCCCTGAACTCCAAGCCCTGGTATTGGTGGTGGTAATAATAAAAATAATAATAGCAAGACTAGCAACAGGTAAAAAAGTTGGGTGCTTTATAAATTAAATGGTAAAAAATAATAGTTTGTGGTGCGTGTGTGTGTGTGTGTGTGTGTGTGTGTGTGTGTGTGTGTGTGTGTGTGTGTGTGTGTGTCCTGGGGCTTGAACTCAGGGGCACTGTCCTTGAGCTTTTTTTGGTCAATCTTGAGTCTTGAACTCTGGCCCTGGGCGCTATCCCTCAGCTCTTCAGCTCAAGGCTAGTGCTCTACCACTTGCGCCCCAGTACCACTTCTGGCTTTTTGATAGTTAACTGGAGATAAGAGTTCTGCCTGGGCTGGCTTTGAACCATGATCCTCATCTCAGCCTCCTAAGTAGCTAGGATTACAGGTGTGAACCAACAGCACCTGGCTTGTCCCTGAGCTTTTGTGCTCAAGGCTAACGCTCTACCACTTGAGTCACAGCACCACTTCTGGCTTTGGTGATTCATTGGAGATAAGAGTATCATGGACTCTTATACCTAGGCTGGCTTGGAACTGTGATCCTCCAGATCTCAGCTTCCTGAGTAGCTGGGATTACAGATGTGAAGTATCAGTGCAGGGCTCTCATAATCCCATTTTATGGGAAGTTCAAGTGTTAAACCTCAAAAAAAAAAAAAAAAGCTAGCAGCTGACCCGCAGTCAGCTGGAATGTGTGGGAACTGTTGGTCATGCTATTGACTAAGGTGATATAACTGGTACTTACTGGGTGGGGCAGAGTTGGGACTAGGGATGCTGAGCCTCCTGTAACTTGGGAGAGCTACAGTGAGGTCTGGTCCGATTCCCACATGTCAATCTCACTGTTGAGGGCTACTTTCTTATTCTTCTTCAACATTCTTCTTTTTTTTCCTGCTAGCACCAGAGCTTGAACTCAAGGCCTTGCACCCCCATTTGGCTTTTTCATTCCAGTCTGTGTTCTACCACTTGAGCACACCTCCACTTCGGCTGTTTTGCTGGTTAACTGGAGTAAAAGTGTTACAAATTTGTCTGCCTGGGCTTGGCTTTCAACCATGATTCTCAAATCTCAGCCTCCTGAGGGCTAGGATTATATGCTCATCTCTGAAACCAAATTCAATACTAAGAAAGCAAATACTCTCTTAGAAACTTCTTCCTCAAAAAATAAATGATTGGCCAAGTCTTAAGCCTCTCATTACCAGCTATTTTGGAGGGATAATATTGCGATTGAAGAGTAAGCTTCAAATTTAATCACCTACTACGTTTGTTAAACTGGTTCCTGGTTGGGTAAATCTATAGGAGTCCAGTAATTTGCAGAACATTTAAATCCCAGATGGCAGTGAAGCCACAATCTGGCAGAGAAGATTTCCATTAGCATTTGATTAGGGACTAGCAGTAAAACAAAAAGCTTAAGAAGACATAGGCCAGTGCCTGTGGCTCACACCTGTAACCCTAGCTACTCAGAAAGCTGAGATCTGAGGATAGCGGTTCAAAGCCAGCCCAGGCAGGAAAAGTCCAGGAGACTCTTTTCTCCAATTAACTACCAGAAAACCAGAAATGGAGCTGTAGCTCAAAGTGATAGGACACTAGCCTTGATCAACAGAGCTCAGGGACAGTGCCCAGGCTCTGAGTTCAAGCCTCACAACCACCAACATCACCAACATCAACAAAAGACAATTTACTAAGATAAAGTTAAAAGTCTGAATGAACATTCATAAGGTATTTGTTTGGAAGATGCTAAAAATTGAAGACTTAGCTCATGTTGGAATATCTAAAACCTTTTGGCTTCAGATTTTCAACCTGTATTTGTAATTGTAGGTCTCCTGGCTAATTTATATCTAGGAAATTTTTGTGCCTTTTTTGGAGTTGGTTTGTTTGTGCCAGTCCTAGGGCTTGAACTTAGGGCCCCGCTTGGGCATTGTTCCTGAGCTCCCCCCGCCCCCCTCACGGTTAGCTCTCTACTACTAGAGTTACAGCTCTACTTCCGGCTTTTTGGTGGTTAATTGAAGATGTCTCACAGACTTTCCTGCCCAGGCAGACTTCAAACTGTAATCTTCAGATCTCAGCCTCCCAGCTTCTTTTGTGCCTTTTAAAGCTTAAGAGTGTTCCTAGGAAAAGCCACTTGGAACTGTATAGTTGTTTGCAATGGAGAAATGCATTTACTGCCTTTTTACTTGTATAAAGTTTTTGGAAGTCAGTCAGGGCCCTAGCTACTCAGGATCACAGTTCCACGCCAGCCCAGGCAGGAAAGCCCATGAGTCTATCTCCAATTAAAATTATTAAAATTATCTCCAGTAAAAAGCTGGAAATGGAGCTGTGGTTTAAGTTATAGAGTGTAAGCTAATGACATATTCGAGGCCTGCTCTCGAATGAGTGTACAGTGTAAACATCAGATATTAGAGGCCTGGTCTGGAGCAAAAAAAAATCCTTGAGAATAGAGGTGTGGCTCAAGTGACATCCTTGAGGGGAAAAAGCAAATCAAGAGCACTAGGTTCAAGTCCCAGTACTGGTATATTCACACACATGGATACACACACAATAATAATAATAATAATAAAAAATCTGGGACTAAAACATGCAAACCAGAAATCTCTCAACCCACCAGGCACTGGTGGCTCACACCTGTAATCCTAGCTACTCAGGAGGCTGAGATGTGAGGATCACAGTTTGAAGCCAGGCCAGGCAGAAAAGCCCAGGAGACTCCTATCTCCGAGTTACTACCTAAAGGACAGAAGTGGCGCTGTGGCTCAAGTAGGACAGTGTTAGCCTTGAGCACAAAAACTAAGGGGCAGCATTCAGTCCTAAGTTCAAACCCCAGGACCCACCAAAAAATAAACAAAAAATTTTAAAATCCCACCACTAGCCCCAGGCCAAGGTCTTACCTGCATAAGCTGCTGCTTCAATTTCTGTATCTCTGAAATGTTCAGCTCACTGAATAAATCCGAGACTGGGTGCAAGGACTCTCCTTTCCTTAAGGCTGGGGTCCGATAGTCTCCATTCAGCTTCACCAGAGGCCCGTGGATATGTCCATTCATCTTCTCGTCGTTATTCGGCTCGCCAGACTCCTCGGAGAACTTGAGTCCATCCACTGAGAGACTGATGTGGTTGTCGCTGAGATTGATGTACTGGGCCAGCTCCTTCCTCAGGTTGTTTTTTTGCTCTCTCTCATTCTTTAATGTCTCCAGGGCCTCCTCCAGCTGGTGCTCAGCGATTTCTTTCAACCGGATGGCATCCTCTAGCTGGCTGTTCAGCAGGACCGTCTCTTCTTCAAATCGTTTAATCTCATGCTTTAAGCCCTCATATTCAACCTGTATTAGATAGGTTAGAGAAGATTCATAAAACTAAAATTTGGGTCTTACAAAACTGCCATTGGACACTCTAGTGGCCTTAAATCCTGAAAAAGAATCTAACATCAGGCTAGAAAATAATGTAATGCTGGGTGCTGCTGGCTCACACTTGTAATCCTAGCTACACAGGAGGCTGAGATATGAGGATCACAGTTCAAAGCCAGCCTGCGCAGGAAAGTCCATGAGATTTTTTTTGTTTTGTTTTGTTTTGTTTGGGTCCGGTTGTGGGGCCTGAACTCTGGGCCTGGGCGCTGTCCCTCAGCTCTTCAGCTCAAGGCTAGCGCTCTACCACTTGAGCCACAGTGCCACTT